GTGTGTGTTAAAGTTTGATCTAATTCAGCCAAGTTAACGTAAAGTTAGAGATTTATTTGTCTTTTGGGAAAGTGATATATAAGGAAATGTTCTTGATCTTCATGTTGGAATTGAAACTTATAGTCTTTGTACCAGTGACTTCCGCTATTGTATCCATCCACAGAAAATAATAATTGATTCTTGTAAGAAGGCATCATGAATCCTGTATGAATTAGTGGTAAAATTGAGACAAGGTTTGAAATAATAATTCATTTTCTAGCAAGCATTATCATTCTCATCTAATCACAAGATTTGCAAAGAACTGATCCAAAGTTGTTATTGCAGGAAATCAAAAAAGATTCGAAAGACAAGATCATCTTGGTGTCGGTTCTAGCATCAGTTGCAGTAGTAGCTGTTCCATTTCTTGTCTATTATTCGCATTTTTTTCTTCTCGACGCAGATCACAGAATGGTATGATTCTGTTTGCCCAATTTCTAATCAGCTCTCCTCTGTGCTTTGCTTTCAACTTTGAGTTTATGAAGCTATGTGTTAATACATTGCAGTGTCAGTTCTTCCCAAGAGCATGAGAGGCAAAAATCAGGGACTTGATCATGATGTAAAGATGATCGAGGTAGAGGGTGATGACGGTCAACAGATGCGCTACATAAGCCTGCATACTATTGTAGATGCAACTAATGGCTTCTCTGATGGTAACAAACTAGGGGAAGGAGGTTTTGGTCCTGTCTACAAGGTAAATTATTCAAACATTGTTAATCAAATCAGCCATTAATCTTCTTTAAAGTCTTGATATTCTGTGAAAATTCATGAGTTTACATCAAACGGAGAATTAAAGAAACAAGTAGTTTATGATCTTACTTAGTACTCCATTTGTTTTTCAGATGCTGAACAATTTTAGAGAAGTTTTTGATCTGAGTCTTTGCGGTTTAGTTTCTTTTTGTTTTCTTTTTTTAAAACATGACAATTCTCCCGTTTATGCAAAGTTTTTGCTGGACAATTCGATTTTGTAAAGGGAAAATTACCAAACGGGGATGATGTCGCGATCAAGAGACTCTCAAGAAAATCAAGTCAGGGTCTTACAGAGTTCAAGAATGAAGTGAGTTTGATAATTAAGCTTCAACATCGAAACTTGGTGAAACTTTTAGGGTACTGCTTCGAAGAAAATGAGAGGATTCTTATATATGAATACATGTCTAACAAGAGCCTCGACGCTTTCCTATTTGGCATGCAAGTACATCTTTGAGATTGACATTTTGTGTATAAAAATGCATTTTTGTACACTAATATAAGTTCTTGTTTCCTTAAGCTTGTGGTAAAGTTGCAAGAGGACTACAGTATTTGCACGAGGAATCGCGTCTCAAGATCATCCATCGTGATCTCAAGCCTAGTAATATCCTTTTAGATTGTGAGATGAACCCTAAGATCTCGGATTTTGGGACTGCCAGAATCTTTGGATGCCAACAAATGGAAGACAACACTGAAAGAATTGTAGGCACATTGTAAGTCAGTTGTCCCTCTGTCATACTCATAACCAACAAACGGTCAATTAGATATATATCTATAAGCAATGAAAATAATTATCATATGATCTAAACACCGGTAAATTAAGCGGCTATATGGCTCCGGAGTATGCATTAGGCGGGATGATTTCAGAAAAATCTGATATTTACAGCTTTGGAGTTCTGCTACTAGAGATTGTATCAGGCAAAAAGGTGAACCGGCTATTGCCTCATAAAAATCAACAGCTTAGCCTTATTGATTATGTAAGTTATTTTTGAATCTATAAATAACAGAGAGTCAGTGCTTTGATGTACATAATTAGTAACCTATCAACCTTCATGTTTTGACCACCACATGTTGTGTTCTTTAAATTTCAGGCATGGGAATCCTGGTGTGAGACCAAAGGGTTGAATACGATAAATGATGAAGCAATTTTGGGTAGTTCATTTTCTTCACCAGAAGCGATGAGATGTCTTCATATCGCTCTTCTTTGTCTTGACTACAATCCAGTGGAACGACCCACGATTTCACAGATAGTTGACATGCTAAGAAATGATGGCGAGCTACCGCATCCAAAACAACCGAGTTTCGTGTTCCGGAATGTCTTGAATCGTATTGTAGATAAATATGGTTTAGGTGATAAGGATTGCATTCCTAATACGATAAGGACTGTGTTCCTATATTCTAGGATGTCACATATATCTCTAGTCTCAATATCTTGTGTATAAATACTCATGTATGATGAATGAATAAAGTCAAGTCAGTTCAAACACAATCTTTACATGGTATCAGAGCTTGATCTGTAAAGTTTAACACAAAAACGTTTTCGCAAATTCTTGTTTTCGTCTCTCTTCGTGTTTCATCATGGCCGGTCTTCAAGGTATCGCC